TCGCGCCGGGGAGCGCTCAGGAGCTCTCTACTCCTCCGCAGACCAGGTTGAGCAGAGCGCAATTCGCGGGGCAACGCTGGAAAAGAACCCTGCGACTCCTTATTGAGCGATTTAGGCTCCTGACAGCTGGTCTCTTTGGCCTCCTTGCCATTCAACTTTCCCTCGTCCTCGGAGTCAGACGACTCCGAGGCTAGAGCCCCGTCCTCCTCCTTAGCATCCTTGTTCCCCTTGACGGACCCCTCTCGGGAGCTCCCTGACTGGGCCTGCTCAAATACCCTGCGTACTTTTGTAAGCTCTTGAGAGCTTTCTCCACAACCACCCTCGCTCTTAGTGTTGCTACCTAACATGTTTCCCATCTTTTAATATGTTACTCACCGCGTGAGGCCCAAGGAATCCGCCACTTACGCGTGAGCCTGAGGGGAGTCTAAAAGCCCTGTAGGTGCGCGCCACCCAGAGCCCAGGCTTATCCCCAACTCACCTGTCTCGCAGCTCTGTACTGGAGCGTTGTCCACTTCCACGTCTCGGGGGTGATCAGTCCCCGTACGGGCCACCAAATGTCGATGTCCACTCCCGGCCGGCAGGAAGGACACACGACAAAGTCTGGTAGTGGACAACCTTTTCTTTTTATTTTCCTTCTCCGTACAGCCTGCCCTGGGTTCTCCCAGCTGAAGCCTCCTCTGGTCCGCTCCCCGCGGCTCCTTTTGTGCTTCAGTCTGCCCCAAAGCCTCTACCGGTCCGCTCTCCGCGGCTCCTTTTGGGCTTTTACTTCTGGGCTTCTACCTGGCTTCTTCTTCCGCCCAGGGGTGGCACCGGTATATATACGGGTACAGTGTCCAATCATGTTAAAGTAAGCAAGGCAAGCTGATTGGCTAACATCATCAGTTGCCAGGCAGACTATATTGTTGAGCGGGTTGTTTACGCGGTAAGCAGGAAACTAACATATTCGATGGGAGGGGTAATCTACCTCAGGCTTTGCTCTTTACCACAGGCCGCACGTCCGCCGCGCAAGGCGAGCTATCACAGACGCGGCTCCCAACATTCATTTAGTCTTAAAATCTCACCCTGTGATTTTATTGCTTATGTTTTATAATGCATGCGATATTCTTGCCCAGGACGTGCCCAAAATTCTCAGTGGTTCAAGGCAGGGGGCCTTGTGTCTTGTTCTTGTTCAGTCCTCTATGGGAGTCCGTGTGTGTGTGTGGGGGGGGGTGACCCCAAATCACAGAGGCCCAGCTCCCTCTGTCTTCCTGCTCTGCTCCCACTCATGGTGAGTTTTCTCCATTCAGTCAATGGATGTAGAAAGGGAATTTGGCACGATAGCACTTAACTAGCTGGCCTGGAATTGGTATTTAATTTCCTTTAATTCCCTGCTCTCTTGTTTTAGTTGTCCTAGGGAATTGAACTCAGGGCCTTTGCGCTGAGTTATGGCCCCAGCTTTTTTTTTTTTTTTTTTTTTTAGACAGTGTCTCACCCAAATCGCTAAACTGTCCAGACTGAACTAGAACTTGTGATTCTGCTGCCTTGGCCTCCCAGGGTTCCGGCACTGCAGGCCTGCACCTGTGTCCAGCTGTTTTCCTCCACTTTCCATTGGCCAGAGTAGTTCTACCCCTGTCTGAGGAGATGGGGAAATGCAGGCCCTGTTGGCTTAGCACACTGACCACAGGAGGACATGCGTGTACGTTTATGGGGCTGTGTAACTGTGAGGACCATGCGGTCATTAAGTACGGAGCCTGGGAGGAGCTGCCAAGCCACAGTTGGACAGATTTTTTCTTCCCATGATATAACCTTTGTAGTCTTCCTGATGACGGAGGCAAGGCCCAGATGGCCCTTAGTTGAGGTCACCCTCCCTGACCTCGGGGAGTCAGCATGGCCACATGTCCTGACCTCCCAGGTGGTGTTGGGGGATCAGGGAGGGGCACCAGCAACTCTTTTAACTGCTCAGTGCCTCAGTTTCTCCCAGACTCTCCCTCAATGAGTGACTTCCGGTTTCTTCTGAGACCTTCCCAGGTTTAGCACTTAAATCTCCTTGTCTCTAAAAACCGTTCAGTCTCAGACAAACTAGGACAGTTAACTGGAATTGTCCTCATTGTAAAACTTTAAGACTTGGCTCGGAAACCTGTTCAGTCCCTGCCCAACCAGGACACTGCCTCACCCTCCTGTCCTCCCAGCACAGCCTGTGAGGCCCATGGTGACATCAGCATAGGATGAAGGAGTCACTTTGTGGGGACTACAATGTCAGAGTGCAGGATTCCTGTGAGCAGGGGATGAGTTCCTCCCAGTGTGCACATGACGGGAGAGGACGGCCCGTCAGGGTCATAGCCAGCTGGACCCTCTGTTCTCACATGAGGGTGGTTGACCCAGGGCTGCTGCCAGCTGCTGCTTGTCCATCTGGGAGATTTTCTGCACCGGGAGTCTGAAGTCTCTCTGCCCTCATGACGAAAAGGAGGCCATAAGTTATTTCCATGCTGGTTTTGTGTGCGTGACATTGTAGCGAGCTGCGGGTAGGGTTGTCAAGGGATTGTTGGAACTGGATCTCCTTGAGTTAAGTCTGTCTGGTGCCCACTCCAGTTATTGTGGGGTGCACCACATAATAAGTCTCATGGAGGGAAGCCTGCAAAGGCTTCTCCTTTGTCATAAGCAAATGTCACCATCTGGAGTCTTCCCAAAAGGCTTCTTTCAGGTAAGGGACACAAAAGCAATCTGCATGTCAGCCTCGGTGACAGAATCTCAGAGAGCTCGAAGGTTCACAGGCTCTGGTGCAGCTTGGCTTGGCCAGGTGGTCATCTGTAATATTATTCCTATCCCCCGAATGCCACACAAGGCCCTAGTTCCCTGTAAAGAACTTCTCGGTGGAGGATAAAATGGGGTGTGACTTCATGGTGGAGGAGGTGATGCCACCCCAGGTTCTTGTTAGTAGGCAGCAGAGAGGAATGTCCATTAACAGCAGGACCTCAGCTGGCAGGCAGAAAATCTTTTCAGTCTCTAAAGAAATGAACAAAGCTGCATTTCAGAGGGACCGAGGCTTGGGGCAGATCCATGAAGAGGGGTCACAAGGACAGCACAATAAGCACAGCTAGGTAGAATCTGGGAAGCAGAGATAGATCAAAGGAGGAGGAAAAAAGATACAGCCTCCCAGGCCACACCCCCATGACTCACCTCCTCCAATCAGGCTTCACCTGCCAATTTCACTCTGCACTTGTAAACTCCTCAGTGCACCAACCCAGTGACAAGTATCATGTTCCTATAACCTAGTCACTTCCCAAAGGCCCACCTGTACTCAATGCATGAGGTTTTGCAGGACATCTAGATGGAAACCACAGGGCAGGGCTTGTTCCTCTCTCTTGCTTCATGGGCAAGAGTCCTATGGATATAGCCAAGGAGAAGATGGTAGTGGGAAGTTGTTTATTTTAGATAGCTACAATTATCCTGAGTACACAAATTTATGAGGCATCTTTCCACTTAACCTGTTGCTGTCACTTATGAGCCAAAAAAGACGTTAAGAAAGAAGACAGTCCTCAGAAGCAAAATCATGCCAAGGCTGGGTGTCTCGGAAACGGCAATCTTGGTTATGTGGCTTGGGCTAGAAAGTGGTGGCTCTGGTTGGTGAGAATATCAGCGTTAGGTTCTAGACAGGACCTTCCCAAAGTCATTAGTGACCTTCTGGGACATGAAGACAGTGGTAAGAAAGGACAGGAAAAAGCACTTTTCCATTCGCATTCTCCGTTTCTGAGTGTGCATCATGCTCTTGGCCCTTGGAGAGTCCTCTGGGGAGCCTTGTTGTTGCTTTTGCTGTTGAGGTGACAATTTTCTGCTGTGGTCTTAGTGTTGGCCATGGCCTTTAAATAAACACCGAGTTTGGCAATCATGCCCTTTTCCTACTGAGCATTGTGGACAGTGGGATGACTTGGGCAGCCCTATTGGATGTAGTCGAGGTGTCTGCCAAAGAGTTTGAGCTGACCTGGCCACAATTTCCTGTGCGACAATGGAAAATGAGGAAAGACCTGTGCTTGGTAATTGTGCTTTCATTTGTCATTAAGGAAAGGAAAAATCATTCATGGTGACCTGGGCTAGAAGACCTAGGTCTTCACTGTCAACTCTTTCTAGGTCAAATGCCTCATAGCTTCGAGTAGCTGAGCTTTTCAGCTGATTTAAGACAGATGGGAGGTGCTTACCAGCCTGCGCATGGGGCTCTCCTCCCAGCATCTGTCTGGACCTCATTGCCAGTGCATTAAAATTCTTCCTGGTTGTGAAAGCATTTGGCCGACCTAACCAAGCTCACTTGGGGGTGTATTCATCCTTCAGGAAGAAGGATGAGTATAATTTCATCTTTTTTCCTCTTTGGCAGGTATGGGGGAATTAATTAAGAGTTCCCAGAAAATTATTCTCTTCTGTTCAAAGTAATATCAACATTTCCATCCGAATCCTCTGTGAATAGAGGCAGTTTGACTGGCCTCTAGAGTAGGGTTATAAAACTTGGAGATGGACACTGTCTACTTCTGATTCTCTGCAAGGCATCAATCAACCTGAGCTCAAGGCCTTAGTTTCTTCATCCATAAAATGGGAACTAAATATGTGCATTTATTTCCTTGAGAAAATTTTAGAGGAGTTACCTAAACACCATCTTTTAATGTTCTGAGTCTCTCAAGGGGAAGGAAATGGATGTGACAGAATTTTTGAGAAAAAATCCATTAAATATGAATTGTGACCTCCTGGGTTATTTAGATAAGACACAGAATGTTCCTCAGATATAGGCAAACTGTCTTCTAGAAAAGATCTGTGACTTCTTTCCACTAGTGGTAACTCTTGTGTAGGACAGTGATTTTCACTGGTTTTAACAATGTTAGAGATTTACCCTGAGAGACTCATTTTAATGGGATGATCATTTTCACGTTACATAATATATTTATGTTATGTTTTATGGATGAATACTTCCAGATAAAATCATTGCACTCATGTACAGTTTCTCATAAGTTAATCTATGTCTTTTTGTTCCCCTGCAGACAAAACTGTGTGGAATTTTACCCTGTGTTCTTGATTGCACTGTGGATGGCTGGATGGTATTTCAACCAAGGTAATCATAGGATATACAGTTCTAACCCTGGCTGTGGTGCTTCAAAAACAATTAAGAAGCAGGTAGATGACCATGCAGCTACTGATCCTGGCAACTATTTTAAACAAATGAGCTAATGTCTCCATACATTGGTTACAGATATGCAATATTGGGCTTCATTGTGATTTAACTCAATAATAAAAGTAAACTTGCAACAAACTATATGCAGGACACTCCATAAAAGTCACACGAACTCAGTCTTCCAATCTAATAACCTAACTGTAATTTAACTGAAGAAACAGAACACCGAGTTAACAATATATCTTAATAATTATCGTTAATATTTATTGAGCACTTACTATGTACCAGGCACTGGTTTTAAGTTTTACATCGCATGCATAAGATTTATAGGATTTAAGCCCTTCATATAAAATAAAGTCTAAAGTTAATTCCTACTTTACAGATTAAAAACACAGAGATAGAGGTTAGGTAATTTGTTTAATTTAAGATTCACCAATACAAGTAAAATTTCCTTTTCAGTACCCACTGTAGCTATTTGTCTAACAACCCGTGTACCTAACAACCCATCCTAAGGGGGCTCGAGGACATAGTGCCACTATCTGTAGCAGTTTCACTAGAGTGAGGTGTCCTTGGTGGGCTGAGGGCTTTATCCTAACTTTGCCTGCTTCTGCCTTAGTTGGGAAAGTTCTTTGATTTCTGGCCTCATTTGTTTATTACTTATTTTTAAATTTTTTTCAAATCCATTTTCCAGGAGAAAAAGAAAACAAACAAACAAAAACAACAGCAACAACAAAAAACTAAAACAAAATGTAAAAAACACGTCAAATAGGAGGCAACAATGATATATACACTGCGCACTGTCATTCCCAAAGCGCTCACCCAGAGCACAAGACAACTGCATTTGGTTGTCCAAACAGTACCATCACAAATCTTCTCTTCAGTGAACTCAGAGAAATCAGTAGTATAACTATCTTAACTAGTTAACACACACTCTCTCTCTCTCTCTCTCTCTCTCTCTCTCACACACACACACACACACACACACACACACACACACACACACATCTTGTTTCAGTTTCTTACCCTAATGAAACAGTGTGATATTTACACATGTGTGTCTTGTTTATTTCACTTATGAGTCTGGTCTCAAGTTGCATCCATTTACCTATAAAAGTCTAGTTTGGCTGGGGATCTATCTCAGTGGCATAAGCACCTGCCTTGCAAGTGCACAATCGTGAGTTTGATCCCCGGTACTGATAGAAAAAAAAAAGTTGCTGTGTTGAAGTCTCTAGTTTATCATTCTTTATGCCTGACTAGTACTCCACTGTGTAAAAATACCACTTCTGTTTTATCTGTTCCTCAGTGGGTTGGCATTTAGGCTGTTTATAAGATCTAGCTATTACAAATTGTGGTGCTGTAACATGGGAGCACATATATTGCTGTGGTATGATGTTTTTAATTTTTGAGGGAAGATACCCAGAAGGGGAATAGCTGGTTAAATGGGTTGACCTGTAGTCAGAGTTTCTTGAGGAATCTTCGCCCTGATTTCCACAGTGGTTGCACCAGTCTGCAGTCCCACCAGCAGTGGAGGAGGGTTCCTTTTTATCCACAGCCCCTCCAGCATTCCTTATTGCTTGATTTGTTGATATTAGCCATTCTTTATGTGGTGAGGTGGAATCTCGATGTTGTTTTAATTTGCATTTCTCAAATGACCGGCGATGTTGACTGTTTTTCCACATATTTATTTGCTAGTATTTCTTCACCTGAGAAGTGTGTATTCATCTCAGATGCCATGGCCTCATTTGCATCTGCGCCTGATTGCTGAGATTTAAAACAAACCCAAATCCAGCCCTTCTGAAGGAAATGCCACCCATCTCCTTGTAATTTTTACTGTGCCTTAAGGAATTTCATATAACATGACCTTTAGAGAAAGGCCTTTTAACTTTAACTCCTACTTTTGTTCCTTGATTCCATGACTGGAAGTGGCTGCTCTTTGTGATCTAAGAGCACATTAACAATAAATAATAAGAGTGCGTTTTGATAATGGGATCCCATCTCGGCCATTTGACCCTTTGGCTTCCCCTTGATGGGCTAAATAAGGTCAGCTGCCCAGCAGGAAAGGGTTTCTGGTCATAATTTCCCTTCCATTCTTTCTCTTGCAAAGTAAGTTGCCTGTTAGCTTCCTTTAGCATCCTCACTGGCTTTCGGGGAGTAATTCAGTAGACGGTGATAGTAATTCTCAAATGTGAGAGCATGCTCAGAATTTTTGAAGCCCTTCAGATGCTAGGTGGCTCTGCTACTTCCTTGTCCTTGGGGACCCTGCCTGTATTGGTCAGCTTTTCGTTACCGTGACAAATACTGGAAAACAACTTAGGAAAGGTTTATTTTGGCTAATGGTTTTAGAGGTTTCAGTCCAGGGTGAGCTCGATGCTTTTAGGCCAGTGGTGGGGCAGGAGCATCATGGCGGGAAGGGCATGACCAAGAAAGGACAGTAAGCAGAGAGAGCTGCAGGAAAGAAATACCTTCATAAGCACAGTCCTAGTGACTTATTTCTCTCAACTCTTTAACAGTCCACTTGTCTATCAACCAACAGTAGATTAATCTGCTGATGATGCCAGCACCCTCACCTCTGTAGGCTTTCTCAATCCAGTCAAGCTGACAGTTGAGACTAACTTCACACCCTGCGCCCTTTCTAAAGCCTTCTACAGGTCCTCTCTGCCCCACCTTCTTCATGACACTTTTAAGTCTGGAATTTTCTTTTCATTTTTTTTTTTCTGTGTTTGTTGTCTGTCTCTGATGCTAGAACATAAACTCTGTAAGAGCAGGGAGCTTGTATCTTTGTTGTTTTAACTCAGTCTTTATAATAAAGATTGGTGTATAGTAGAAATTAAATCTTTGTGGCCAAATGAAGTAATGAGTTTAATTTTATTTAGCACATCATAGTCTCACACTTAGAGTTTAAATATTTCCAAAAGGGCTCTGGTAGTTCACATGCATGAAGGGCTGAGGAAAACACTGATACTTTCATGGATAAGGACGGCAGAACATTACCTCACAGTTTATACCTCTTTCTTTCTGATGTAAGATTTGCATACAGGACAACTCACAGATATGTGACTGATGGGTTTTGAGAAGCATAGATACCTATGGGTCTGTGAGTTTGAGCCTTAGTAAGATGTAAAACATGGTCCCTACTGGAGTTTCCTCCAGCCACTCCCAGGCATCCCATTCTTGTTCCCTCCAGATGCAAATACTATTCTGATTTTTCGTTGTTTAGTTTTGTTTATTGTGGAACACTCCATGGGTGGGGAGCTATATAACATGTGTCCTGTGTAATGTTTCATCCACTCAGCAAAGCACTGAGACTCACTGCATTGTGGTATCTGTTTTTTTTCCTTACTGAGGAGCCTTCCATGGCATGTCTCTGTCACAGCCAGCTGAATTCTCATGATAGACTTTTGGGGTCAAAAAGTTTTCCTAATTTTTGGCTGACTGAATATGGGCATAGTTTCATTTGTCTTGAGCAAATGTGGTAAGTCCCTGATATATGAACAAGCTCTGTTCCCAGAGAGTTGTTTGTGAGCCAGACTCATTTACAAGGTGACAAAGTGAATTTTATAGTACACCTGTAAAAGTTCGCAGTGCAAGTGTTCCTAAGACGGGGACTTGCGGATACAGACATGGAATTGCTGGGTAAAATGATATGTCTGGTTTATAAGAAAGTACCAGAATTTCTCCCAAAGTGGCTGTTCTAGTGTGGTGGCACAGTGCTCAACTGTGCCAGCCCCACTGGCCTACATAAGCGCACCTTGGGTGTCCTGTGGAAGCCTGACCCTCGGTCCATCTCTGTTTCCTGGTCGATCTCCTGCTGGCTCTGTTTCTCTGCTCTCCTTCCCAACCCCTAGGAGCAGGTCACTTTGCTTCCGCACACTCTCAGGCCACGATGCTCCTGCCTTGGCGTAGGCAGCCAGGGACTGAATACCCTGAAACTATGAACCAGCATTTTCTCAAGTTGTGAGTGTTAGTACTGCGTGTCAGTGACATGAGAGCTGATGAATACAACTATTTTATGTCCTCGCCAGTGACCTATAGGGATTTCAGTTGCTGCATAGCCTCACCATTTTATGGTTTTTTAAAAAAATATACTCTCTTCTGATGGGTGCGTAGAGTTTTAAGTGGCACTTTGCTAATGTCAAAACTCATGGAAACATTTTTTATGTGATTAATGTCACATCTGTGTATTTCTTCAGTAAGTTCTCTATTCCAATATTTTGTCCATATGAAAAAACTAAGTTTTAAAAAATTGAACTGTAAATGTTCTCTATACATTCTGGGTACAAGTACTTTTTTTTTCTTTTTGAGACAAGGTCTTGCTATTCAGTTCGTCTGGCCTTGAGCTCACTTTGTAGCCCAGGCTGGTCTTGAACTTGCAACTGTCTTCCTGCCTCAGCCTCCCGAGTGCTGGGATTACAGGTGTGCACCACAATGCCTGGTTTCAAGTATCCTGTCATATACACAATGTATAAATATTTTCTCCATTGCCACACTGTATTTTGAAAGACTGCTACCATATTCTATATATTTTCTCTCTTTTTCTCCCCCTCCTGCAGTTTTTGCTTCTTGTCTGGGTCTAGCGTACATATATAGCCGTCACAAGTACTTCTGGGGATATTCAGAAGCTGCTGAAAAAAGGTAAGGGAAACCCTGTAACGGTGATATATGCAGGCCGCAGCAGGGGCAAGTCGGGCCTAGTTTTCTGTTCCTCAGAAGTATTAAGAAGAGCAGCAAGAGCTGTGGTGGTAATGGTGATCCATCCTGCCTGAGGTCATGCCTTGCCAGGCCACATAATTAGACACAAGGTGGGGAAACACTCGTATAAAACTGCACTGAGCTGGGCGTGGTGTAGACACCTGTGATCCCAGCACAGTGGGGGCTGAGGCAGGAGGATTGCAGGATCAATCCGGTCTGGGAAACTTAGCAACTTAGCAAGTCCTGTCTCAAAAAATTAAAGAAGGGCTGGGAGCTAGCTCAATGACAAGGCCCTGGGTTCAATCCAAACAAGACAACAGTAGCAACTCAAAAGTCTGTCCACTCCGTCCAAGGAATAATTTTGCAATGTCTCTAGAAAGTTAATGGGAAAAGAATCCTGTCCACTGAATGATCAAAGAAATCAACTGAACTCTCTAGCTAGGCACCTCCTTTCATTTATGTGGTGAACCCCAAATTTCAAATGGCAAAAGCACAGAGGTCCTGGGTAGTGTCAACAAGGAGGAACCCGTGCGGGTCTCCCAGCTTCCTCACTCGGGCCTGGTTGTCCCTCCTGTCCCTCATGTCCACCCCGCAGGATGGGCGGTTTCCTGTCGAGCCTGGGGATTTTGGCCTTGTTGACGGTCCTGGGTGCCCTGGGCATCGCAAACGTCTTTCTCGATGAATATCTGGACGTCCATGTTGGCAAGAAACTGGGGCGGTACTTCTAAATTCCCTTCCCTTCCCTGTCATGTTTGCCCAAGCTGTTTCCACGCTGAAGGTAACACCATGTGCTTGTTAAATAAATTTTTAAAAAGCCTGCCGTTTTGTTTTTCTTGAGAGGGCTTTGTGGAAGCACACTCTCTAGGGAGCACATTTCCTGTTTGTTTGAGAGCTGGATTGCCAGGGCCGCATCAGCAGTCGTGGGCTGAGCTCCAGGTTTAGAAGTACATGCTGACGTCATGGTCGCTTTTGCAGGGGCAAAGCAGCCTGACCCGTGTGCTGGGCTTTCCATGGATCACTGCTGCAGCCTGCCTCTGCAACAGCTTCTGTCTCGATGGAAGGTTCCAGACAGATGCTGGGAAGGCAGCCAAGCCCCACTGCACGGGTTACTGAAATGCAACAGATGGCTGGGAGTGGGGGTGTCAGGCAGACATGTGAAGTAGCCGGAGAGAGTCACCAGCTAATGGCAAGGAGCAGATCTGGCTGTGAAAATGTGCTTCATAAAGAACAAAGGAAAACAAAAAATCACTTCATTTCGAGGAGACTCAGGGAGCAGGGCTAAGGGAATACTCTTGCCCCTGGGCAGAGGTGGAGCGTCCTGCTGACGCTGCTCTGTGCCTCTCCTGACCCCGTGGTGCGGCCCTGGCCAGCAGGATGCACTCGACACTTTTTCATTTTCTTTCTCTGCAAGAGTCTGTGTCAAAGCCTTCGAAGCCCCAAGGGAAGGCACTAGGAACAGAGCCCTCTATCGGTGTTTCCAGGGAAAATCAGACCACTCTGAGTCTGGTGGTGGTATCAAGAAGCCATTTAATGAGATGTTTCTTTAAGGTGGGCACATTGGCCATTGCAAAGGCTATGAATAACAGGAAAACAAAGGACTGCTCCTAAATGCTAGTATTTCCAGACTGGCAGAGGAGGGAGAGGTGGCAGCCTGGCGATGCCTCTCAGCAGGGTCAGGTTTCTCACAGGGTGTGAGAATGCCGTGGTCTGGAAGGGGACATCTGGACGCTGCTCTGGGGTCCCCACATGTTGGCTGTTTGACTTTGGCTGAGGCCCAGCATCAGCAAGAGGCCCTGAGGTCAGATCACCCTCCGCTGTCCTCAACGTGCTGGTGGCGCCACCTCAGCCCTTCATGGCTCTTGGCCTCCATCTTCTCTTAGATAAAATGGGGCTAATGTGGGAAAACGCTGTGCCCAGGCTCTCCACGCGACATTCTTACCCATTAGACAGTGGCCTGAATCCTGACATTTTGTGTTATTCACTGAAGATAGTGAAGGAAGAGAGTGCAAGTTTTTGACCTCACAGCACGATTACTGCAGAATCCTTTGCTTTGGAAGCAAGAAAAACCCACACCAAAATCATCTTAAATCCCATACTTCAGGATTTTTAAAGACATTCTAATCGTACACTTTAGGATTTTTAAAGCACCTAAATTAATTTGGATACAGAACATGGAGAAACAGGCAATGGTTGTACCCTATCAAAACTTGGTGTCTTTAAACATTATAATTAGTTTCCTTTGTTCTAATTCCTGTGTCACCAGGCAACCTCTTGACTGTCTTACGCTTTTTAGATTTGGCTACAGGGAGCAAACACACTGGCCAAAGAGCTGTGAGTTTCTGACTGATTTGATTTGTGGTAGCTCATCCATAGCCATTGATTTGATTGATTTGATATTAGTAAATTGACAAATTTTAATTTTAGAAATCAGATTCGCCTCCTAAAAGAGTCAAAGTCATGAAGGCGGAATAGAGAATTTTTCTCTGTCAATGGAGTCTAAAGAAGCATAACAGCCAAAGGGTAGCATGAGATCTTTGATCAAATCTGGGTTAGAAAAACCAAGCTCCAGAGCACGTGTGTGAGACACAGGAGCGTTTGCATAGTGAGGGAGAGAGACGTGGCTGTTAGGGAATTCATGCTGATCATGACGTTGTGGCCAGGGAAGAGAATGCTGAAATTCTTAAAAGCTGCAAAGCCGAGGCACTGAGGGTGAAGTGGTCAGCTACACACAGCTCCGAAACAGATCTGTATGTGAAACATTCGTGGAAAGCATTAACAGTGACAAAACTCAGTTGGTAAGTGTATAGATATTCTTTCTACTGTCCTGAGGGCTTGAAAATGTGCATTAGTAAAAAGTTAAAAAGTGTAAAAAAAGTTGAACATTGTAGAAGTTATGACTTTTGATCAAGCTGTGGGTAGCACCCACATTTCTTGTGCTGTACACTGGAGGTTTGACTGGGGGTGGCATCGGAGCCACAATGGCTGTTACTCCCGGCCTCTCTCTGAAGTTCTGGATGTGGGCAGGGACACTGGGCCTCCGGTGTGTGGAAGCTTCGGTAGTTTCCTCCTTGTGGGAAATGAGACCCCGGGACCTGTGGTAGCGCATCCATAGGACATCAGTATGGGAATCTTACGTCCTTAGAATACAACAAAGAAGAGAACAGAGAAGATTGAAAAGAAAACAACCTAAAGAAAATGAGGCTGCATGTGATGGTACGTGTTTGTGACATGGCTCAAGACTCTCAAGGTTCAGGGTTCTGGGAGGCTGAGGGAGGAGGATGGCAAGTTCCAGCCTAGTCTGGGTGACTTAGTGAAAGTCTACCTCAAAATAAACAAGAAAAGGGCTAGGGATGTAGCTCAGTGCAAAGGTCCTGGGGTTAATCCTCAGCAACAAACAAAAATACTGCTCATGCACTGGGAGTGGTGGTGCACCCCTATAATTCCAGCACTTGGGAGGCAGAGGCAGGAGGATTGCTGTGAGTTCAAGGCCAGTTTAGTTTACACAGTGAGTACAAGGGCAGTCTAGTGAGACCCTGTCTCAAAACAACAAAACAAAACCAAACCCCAAAAGCACTGCTTATGCAAATAGCAAGGAGATAACCCTGTCCTCAGAAGTTTCCCACCCTACTTACTAGCATTAGCAGTCAGTAGGATTTGACTACAGTCATTAATAAGCAATAATACGAGTTCATTTGCATCCACCCCCTTTGCTCGATGCAGTCCTCATGTCTGAGATTACAGCTATGAAATCACTTTAGAGGGAAAGCCATCCACTCATCCTCTGTGTTTTAAAGTCAGGATTAGGAAGAGCAATCCGCTGTTCTCAGAGCTTCTCATTTTTACCCCACTGGTCGGCTCCCCGCGCCTTCCCTCCACCCCGAATCAGTTCATTCCTCTACTCATGTTTTCTAGTAAAGTCTTGAGCCCACGTCATAAGGACCAAGCTCACTGTCACACCGCATTCTCCACGGTATCTCTGCCACACTGACTGGACCCTCTGCTCGCCATGGGCCGGGCTCTTGGTTGGTGTGTATTAAAACAGCATCCTTTGGGATCCAGTTTTGATGACAGCTTTATTCTGAGGTCTGTTTCCCAGCTTAACCCAGACAGTGCTGAGGTTTGCTGTCGTACCAAGCTTTGCCAAGTCTGACGGGGGTCTGCGCGCAGGTCTCCGGGAAGCAGAGGCGTAGGTTCGCCGGTAGGTGACGGGCTCCAGCGGAAGCAAAGGAAAAGCAGCATAGAAGCAAGACTGAGGAGGGGAAGGAACTAAGCCAGGTCCCAGCCTCGGTCTGACCTGATGGCAGTCTGGAGCACGCATCCTGTCTTGGTTTATCCAGAAGGTAAGCCAGGCTCTCACCAGCCTGCACCAGCGGAGGGGCGTAGGCTTGCGAGCACTTTCCACTCTGGGGGTGGCTGCAGGCAAAGCTGGGCCAGCTGTGGCTCTGACAATGTAGGGTGGCCTGGGAGACGTGAAGGCCCCTGAGGGAGTGGGGTGTTACTGACCTCTGCATTCCAGCCTCCATCTTGACCTTCTCCCCACAAAAGTTTTGACTCATCTATTTTCTGAGTCTCTGGATAAGCCAGGGGGAAACTGACTTGCTGTGGTTCTGAAGTCTGAATGGATCTCAGTGTGCCCCTTGCAGAGTGGACTCAGCCACACCTTTCCGAGTGCTCAGCAAATTTAGAGAGTTTCAGTTTGAGAGGCTGAGGCAGGAGGATCTTTGCGAGTTCAAGACCAGCCTGGGCTACAAAGTGAGCTCAAGGCCAGCCCAAACTGTGTAGTGAGATCCTGGAGACACCATCTTAAAAAGACCGAAAAAAAAAAAAAAAAAAAGGTTGGGAATGATTGTTCTCTATTGCTACATGTTTAAATAATGACATGACAGTTTTGAGAAAAGAATCATGGTATCATGGTTAATCAGTTAGATGCCAGGAAGAATATTATCTGCTTAATGAATTCTGGAGACTAAAATGAAGCATACTTTGGATTAATTCAGATAATGATCTTTTATTTTTTTTCTTTAAAAGTGGTATGTCAACATCACTTCATTTCTACATTTCAGAGTTCTGTACATTTCTTAAAAGGAAATAAGCAATGCTCAATGTACAAAGTCCAAACAGAAAACTAGAAAAATCTGAATAAAATGGAGGAAATTGCCATAGGTCATACAGTACAAATCAGTAATTAGATGTTGTCTGAAGTGCAATACCACGGCTGCAATGATGAGTTAAGGAATGAAATAAAAATACTCTATTTTAAACAAACAGTATATATATATTTATATGTATATTTTTTACAGATAGTAGACCCAGTGATATCTGCAGTATTGTAAAAACTTATGTACAAATAACTTTTTTTTAGACATTACATATACATCAGCACCGTAGTAAAAACAAAACAAAACAACTTCATTAAAATCTACCTCTGTATGAGTTGGTCCCCGTACTGAGCTCTTGGAGGCAGCGTTGAAAAGATAGCGGAACCCCTCTCTCCATCAGCCACCTCCAGTTTCTCACCCTTGCTTACAGATTCATTTCCTTTACAGGAAAAGGTAATCATCCTGTATTCTGTGTTTTCTTCTTCACTTTTTGGTTTCATCTGTTTCCCTGGTGCGATCCCTCCCAGTATAAAGCCTTCACGGTCCCCCTACCACCACTCTCCGGAGAGGGCACAGGGCCCATCAGCCCAGCGCCTCTGGCCTCACTCCCTGCCCATATTGGGCAGGTCTAGAACCCAGGGCTTATGGAGAGCAGGTCAAAGGTGATGCTTGCCTGGTTACCTCCTCTCCACAGCCTCCTGCTTGCAGCTTTCCATGG